TAAATTAGAAACTATATATCGTGCTGTTTGTCAAATGGACGAAACGAACATTTTTAAATATCCACCTTCATCCTCTTCAACCCCTTCTATCGGAACGGTTAGTCCTCGATAGAAAATCAATTATTTTTCCTGTTTAAACATTTGTCAAATTTAATCGAGATTATTTTACAGATGGATGATTATTGCAAAGTTATCAAGAATCCGTTGTTTCTCGAAACGGTAGAATATAAAATTAAAAATCGAATTTATCACAAGATCGAGCATGCTGTAAGAGATTTTCGAAGAATCGTTTATAACTCGAGAATTTATCACAAGGTTTGTAATATTTATTTTTTCAAATTATTAACTTAACAATTGTTTCCGTATAATTAGTTATTCTTTTCTTTGCGATAGAATGATAATGATAGTGTGAAAAAGATCGAGAATTTATCGAAGAAACTTGAGGAATTATTCGAGGAACACTTTACCAATTGGGATTTCGATAATATTAGTGGAAGTCCGAGAGAAGATTCACCGATAAGACCAAAATTTAAATCAACTAATTCGAGTCAAAAAACACTTGCTGGACATTATAAAAATTCTAAGAAAAGTCCTTCTACTATAACCATTGCAGAAAGCACGTCGCTTCGATAACGATCCCTTTCTTCCCCCTTTTCCCTCTTTCCCAATTATAATTAATAACAACGAACAATATCGGAAAACTATTTTATGAACGATGAAAATATTTTGCTCATTTATTTAGAACGATAATTATTATAGCTATAGTATTTTCAATATAAACGTAGTATTACGTGCCTTCTAGTCATTAGAAATAAATCATAATTGTTGATATTGTTATTGATAAGTGTGTTTTAAGAATTCATTCGATCGAATCTCAAATTTTCCCGCCTTCTCCGTGTTATCCTATTGGTATCCATTTTACACCGGTCAATTCGAATCCGTGATTTTCGTTTTTTTTTAATATATATAAATATATATCACGAACGTTCAAAGTAATTGTCAAGATATCAATGTAAATTATAAATTATAAATTATAGATTATGAACAATAAATGTAATACATAAAACAAACAATATACTCACTCCACTACGAAGATTAATTTCAAATTTCCCACCTAAATCTTGCTTCTCATCGTATTCTTGCGTATAAGACTTAAGCATTTTATTTAATAAATAATAAAAGATACCTCGAGAGAGAGAGAGAGAGAGAGAGACAACTGATATTTAATTCTTCACGTGATTAAACAGTAAGCATAAACGTAACTTAAAACATTGATAAGATAAACGATATTTTTACGATACATTTTAATGATAAAAATTGTAATATCGTATGAGATGCACTTAACTATACCAATTAAAGAAATTAACTGAGAACTGAATGCTTATGAATGTTACTGATTAAAAAAATGGCGTCATTTTATTATGACGTTATCAACCTATAGCCAATCAATGCGAAAGAATTTAAAACCATTTTATTCCTTGCTAGAGAAAATATTTTCCATTTTATATTGTTAATTTTATATGCGTCCTTTCTTATTTTTTAAATTTCATATTTTGCGCGCGATTAAAGGCTGATCCACAAGTCACGATCGTATCGCCATCTTGATACGTTTTTATTTCCAAGAAATTAACCTAATGGTTTCAAAAAATACAACTTTTCTCAGTCCATCGATGAACACGTCAAAATGGTTTCTGTTAGTTTAAAGTGAAAATCATTCGCGTTTTAGTTTAAATCTAAAGTTCAAATTGATCAGCGAAAATTTTTAATTGTGAGTCAATTATTCTTAACCAAATTGTATTGTCTATATAGAATTGATGATATTTTATGAAAATTATGAATATGAAAAGTCATACACATATATCTCTATCATATGTATACATAGTATATGTATATATCTATCTCAAATATACATACTTTTGTTATTCTGTTAACAATTTTGCATTTGCAAAAGTTTTTGCATTTTTTGTTTCTTTGTTGTGTTGACATGTACAGTAATAGTGAAGAAAAGTGTTCTTGCATTAAGAATAATAAATGTCGTATTTTTTTTTCAGGTTTATAAATCAAAATTTTATAAAACAATTATGCTGCACAGATCTTACACTCTCTTGAAATTCATTAGAAATGTTAGCTGTCACTGTGCAGATGAACAATGTATCTTTCAAATAGGCTTGTCAAGAAGATACTCTAGCATATTGATAACATCTAATCCTGGTGTACGTAATTTTAGTTTGAAGAAAGCAGAAAAATTTACAGACCTAAAATGGACTTGCATTGTATCTCTGCGAGAAATATCCGACGATGTGAAGGAAAAAAAGAATGGAGATGTGCTTCAACAGAAGAAGGTATCAGTCGAAGATGGTCAAGAGAAGTTTATCGAATTGACCGAAGAAAAATTAGGAAAATTAAAAGAACGACCTTTGACCACGGAGCCAATAGTTAAGACCGATGATAAGAAAAAAAAAGATTTGGGAAAGGTAGTAGGTATCGTTGACAAAATTTTATCGGATAGTAAAGAAACTGCTACAGAAGAATCCAAGAAGGGTATGTATTTTTTGATTAAGAGGACGCATAACGATTCATTGTAAGGTATTTTTTCTTACAGCTAAGAAAAGATTGAGAGTTGATAGATCCACATCGTCATTGGAGCGTAACTTCATTACACCGGTAAAAGCTATGACCGACTTTCTGTTGAAACCAACCGATCTTGAATCATTGCCTAAAACAAAGCGAAGATCTCCCTACGAATTTGAACCACCGATTACTGTTTATTGGAGAAAAGATGTTGAAGCTAAGTAAGAGAATTTATTTCATGGGTCAGCACGCTATATGATTGTTAACATTGCCGAAGATGTTTGATCGAATGCAGTAAGGTTATACTGCTTTTAGAGCACTGGAAGTCTGGGGGTCTCGCGCAGCTTTGTTAAAAGAGCTTTTGAAGAAAGAAGTAGAACGGAAAACTTATCAACAAAGTAAATAGATTTAAAAAGTTATTCAATAAATAATAGTTATTAATATCTCATAAACTACTCTTGCAACATTCATTCATTCATAACAGATATATTTACTGTAAAACGAAGATTGAGAGACTATAGACGGGAAATGGGCAGCAAAACGGAGACGATTCAAGTGGAAGGCTTGTTTGGTAGATCCGGGCGAGTAGTATTAACGGCAGTTATAATGTAAGTTTGAACAATCCTTTTTTCGTATGGCATTAAATTTAATATTCGATTTAAAAACAAAAAATTATACTTTACATTTAATTACAGAAATGCAAGTAACTTTCTTTTTAAGCTGTTCGCTTGGGTATATACGGGTTCGCATAGCATGTTCTCAGAGTGCATACATTCGGCAGCTGACACATGTAATCAATTGATTTTAGCTTATGGTATTCACAAGTCTGTTCAGGTAAATTAAATATAACAAAAATTATATATAAAATAATAACGAAAAATAATGATATTATAGAATCCTAATGCCGATCATCCATATGGTTATAGCAACATGAAATACGTATCCTCTTTAATTTCGGGCGTAGGAATTTTCTGCGTTGGTACAGGTTTATCGGTCTATCATGGGATTAACGGACTTATGTCTCCTGCGCCCATTGAATCTTTTTATTGGGCATACTATATTTTAGGTGGTTCCTTAGTTTCCGAAGGAGCCACTTTGTTGGTAGCTATGAATTCGATTAAAAAAGGAGCAGAAGAAAAAAAAGAATCTTTTTGGGATTACGTGTTGTCGGGTCAAGATCCATCCGTCAACGTCGTTCTAATGGAAGATTTGGCAGCAGTAAGATTTTTAGTTTCTTCAATCGTCGATTGAACGCGATGCAATAGAAAATATTTTAATATTTTCATTCACCAGGTATTAGGGATAGTTTGTGCTGCTTCTTGTATGGGCTTAACTTCTTTACTAGGAAATTCAACTTTTGATGCTATTGGTTCCTTGTTAGTCGGTGGTCTTCTTGGTGGAGTAGCATCCTTTATAATTTATACTAACGTCGCAGCTTTGGTCGGCAGAAGTATATCGCAAGAAAATCTTGACAAAATCAATGCCGTTATAGAATCAGATATAATGGTAAAAATTATAATTAGAATTAGGTCTTACAAATGAATGATATTCTATTTTCATTTATTAATGATCGTAGGTTCGAGCTATTCATGATGTCAAAGGCATCGATATGGGTAACAATTTGGTCAGATACAAAGCAGAGTTAGATTTTGATGGACGAGAACTAACCAGATCTTATCTCGATAAACACGACCTGCTTACTATGTTGGAGGTACGATTGTAACTACTTTATCAAATGATATAAAATTATCATTTATTCGAAGACGATTTATAATTAATTTTGAAATCTGTAGGAAGTGAAAGGTATGCAAAATATTGATGAACTGGAAGCATTTTTGTTAAAACATGGTGAGAGTATCGTCGACATGCTCGGCGGTGAAATTGATAGAATAGAATTAAAATTAAAGGTAATTAAAATATTACTTTTCTTTTTATTCTTTTTCTACAATATAACCATGTATATAATCATGTATATAATCTACTTTTCTCTTTACAGAAAATTCATCCAGAGATTAGACACTGCGACTTAGAAGTTTTATAAAAATAACTTTTCAGTATCGTAATATCTCCCTTGTAAATATTTAGCTGTAATACGCGTATTATAATTTAGAATGTACCTACGAAAAAGAGTAATTATTTGCTGTAATGATTGGAAAAAGATTAATTGTTTAAGATGAATGATTATAATAATAATAATAATAGTATGTATAACGGGTTGGCTAATAAGTAATTTTAGAATTTTATATATAACTAAACAACAACATTATGTAACAATATTATACAAATTGTGTATATTAAGTAATATGTATTTATTTACGTAGTATTAATTCAATACTTGATGTTGTTTTTTTACAAATGAAATACTAAAAAATCTTACACGACTTATTGACCAACTTTAAAAAACTATCCGTAACGATAAGTGTATAGGTGATAGATAATGATAATTATACAGTATGTATTAAATTTAGACATTCTTCAAGATCGCATCTAAATAAAAATTCTTTATTTACTTTCATTATTTATAAAATACCTCATGGAATATTTCCTTTTTTTCCCCAAATGAACTAAAAGACAAATCGATATTTTAGTCGCGTTCGTTCCTCTTGACAACTGTGAACACAACAGAATGTTGCTATGCAAAAGTAAAAGCATGTTCGTTAACGGTACATTCCGTATCATCGAAATAAACAATAAAAAATTATGTGCACGTGTGTATATTTATTAAAAAAAAAAAAATCTGAAATAAAATTAAATATTTTTCTTTAATCGTAAGATGAACAATCGCGAAAGAAATCGATTTTCAAAAAAACAACGAAGACTCACGAATAAATGGTCTTCGGAGGATACCGACGATAAGAGGATAGAATCGAATCAATTGAAAAATGGAACAAGAAATAAGATTCTCGAGTTGGAGGATCCTTCAAAGGATCAATTGGAAATATTGGAAGAAAATTCTTTGAGGAGGGAGGAAGAAATAAAAGAATCACGTCAAAGTGTATCCGGTAGAAGAAAGAGAAGAGCTTTGAAACGAGATCAAACTTTAGAAATCACTTCCTCCGCTGAGACTGAAACAGACAATAATGTTAATAAAGTTAAGAAAGTCTTTGAGAAAGATGAAATCCTTTCTTCAAGTTCGAGTAATCGTGCTCGTTCTTCCACCAATCGTTCGCGCAACAAGTCGAGGAAACGTAAGAACGATGATCAAACGAATAATATTGAAATACCTATCACAGATATCTTAAGAAAATACGAGGAACCCGTGCCTCCCACTCCACTGACTGCAGATAAGATCTACGTTCAAGGTGACAATGGTTTTAGCACGATTAAAATTATTACCAAGGAGGACGATCGTAAAAACACCTTGAAAGCTTTTTCGTACGTCTCGAAATACGAAACGATTTATTCACCTATCGGCATAGCTATATTAGCTCAGAAATTCTTCAAACGTACTGCATTTATTTATCAAGGTATCTTAAGTGGAATGGCCTTGGTACATCTCGTAATGGTGAATTATTTTTTAAACAAATTTTTCAAAATATTCATATTCTAATAGTATACGAATGATAAATAAATTTGTGTTCCTTTCTTAGATGCAATTTTTTTTTCATTCCTCGATGGATTTTATCTCAAAATATTCACGCTTCTCCGAGATTTATAGTAGTTTATTTTCTCTGCTGATCATTCTTTGCGTTGTCTCGACATTCGACAAGTTCGTATAAATATATTTCAATTGTTTATTTATGTTCTCTTCCCAATCGGTATATTTTTACTGGCTTCTTTTTTTCGAAAGGTTTGATTTAGCGCATTTAAATGTCGATCGATCGAGAGACGTCTGCAAAAATTACGTTGGTTCCGTTATTGCAATTTCATTGTATTTAACGACCTTGTGTTTGCACGAAACATATGCAAACATGGATGATAAATTAACGTTGATTCATTATCAGGAAGATTTTAATAATACCTCGTGGAATAACGTGAGTTTTGTCTAATATAAAAATATTTGTTAAAATATCTCTCTCTATGTAAATATTATAAAAATATAAATTTTTAGACGATACCTATCGAAGACATTTTTGACGGATTAACAACTTGGAAACAAATAAACATATCCAAAGATTTTCTTGCACTCTTGGGCTGGTTTTTTGTGGCGATTGGAATAAAAGAGGATGCTTTGTTATTACATCTCGAATCGATGCAAGGATCTACGCAAACGACATAACATTTTCCATGAAAATGAAAACCGCATTTGTCTTTTCTTTAACAACATTTTTTACTCGCAGAAAATTGCAATTTTCGCATTTATTCGTAACAGAATAGAGCGTTTGATATGTACAATATGTATAAAGTTGATCTAATGCTAACATTTAAAAGATCATCTTAAATATATATATATATATATGATAACGCAGTAAGAATAAAGTATTAATAATTATTGTATATGGCATTTTTATTTTTTTCGTATTATTTCGTTTGTAAAAGTCTTTATTTCGTTAATATCGGAAGTAAAAAATGAAAGAAATTGGAATAGATCGTAAAATATAATTGGCATAGAAAAAAAAATAAAAAGCAATAATATTTATGCGACGTAAATGCGATCAATGATTATTCTTGTCATGCTAATATAAATTTTGCTTTCTTTTATACGAGAAAATAAGCATTTGCTATTGAATATTACGTGCTGTATAATAAGGCTTCGTAGATTTGAATTTTTACTCTTCAAACCAAGTTAAATACATAAATACATATAAAGATCTTTCCTTTCCATAAATTTCATTCTATTCTTGGCACGTTTGTGAAAAAAGAGAGAGGATGAAATTGATTAACATTTGTCTCGATCTTTCTCTCCCTTTTTTCAAATAAAATAAATAAAATCTTTTCATCATTCGACAAAGGCACTGTTCCGCAATGATTTAGGCCATTTACGTAAGCCTACATTGCTTCAACGATCAGATCTTGTTTATCCTAAAAACTAACAAAAAAAAAAAAAAAAAAAAAAAGAATAAAGATGATCGTTCGTCGTTCCTAAATAAAATCGTATTTTCCTTTTTCATTAGTGAACAAAAATTTTCGTTCGAATTGACAGATAATGAAAAAAAAATATTGAATAAAATTCTCATTATTAAAGAGATATTATTTTCGACGATTTAAAATAAAACGAACGACTTGAAATAGCGCTAGACGCGTAAAAAATAGAAAAGAGTTTCGTTGATTGGACGATGAACCCGGACAGGCAGTTTATAATAGTTAGTAGCGATTTTATTCGTGGTTCCTGCTCAAAGTAAAAAAAAAAAGAAAAATAATCGCAAATAAATTTGAGCAGGAAGGATATCATCATCGACGGATCTTCTTCTTATTAACTGGTCCAAATGGATAAATATAGTCGGAACAAAAATTCTCTCTCTTTTAGTCGTCAGAAGAACGTTGTTGTTTGTTGGTTGTACAACGTCATTGTCAATCATCGAAATCGTGCCTAAGTTTGATATAAAGGCAAGAACCAAGAACTATACCAAAAAGTTCTAAAACGGAGAGACCAAGACCAACGGCCCCAAGAATGATAAGATGATCCTTGGTCGTTTCGAGAAACTTGTAAATGCAACCCTGCAAAAAGGAAACATACCAAAATTATATATGAAATTTGTCGTTAAAATCTTGATCATTTCGTTGAATATCTTCACCGTGTATTGAATGTTGGAAGGATGATCTCTCCTCCCGCAAAGTAAAGTTTCCGTTTTGCAACAACTATCCGGCACGCGGCTCCCATTTTTAAGGACTTCTTCGTCCTTGTGCCATTCACTTACCAACCAATCCTCGAATCGAAGTGCACCGCAACATTTGAACTGTGAATCATTATTTTTAACCGAGTCTTAGAATTCATTTTTTTATCCCTTTGATAAATTGTCCGATATATTTATATTAGATACTCACTTCTTTTTGCATTCTATCAATCGCTTCGGTTTCTCTCGATCTTATGGAATAATTATCGAGGAAGGTACGATTAAGATTCATCTTCAATTCTGGACCTATTTGTTCCTCGTAAAGACGTGCCAATGCACCAACTCCTGCTTCTAATACGAGGACTGCCATTACGATGAAAACATACTGAGAAAAGATTATCGAACAATTATTTGTTTATTCAAACATTTACGGGAATTACCCATTGTTACATAACCAGAAAATATGGAAAGATAAAGATAAAATATAAATATAAATAAATAGATAATATATAAATAGAAATTAAACAATAAATAAAAAGACTATATAAATATATTCACAAAAACTCAAACCAAACATTCTCTTTTCTAATATAAAAAAAAGATCATTATTTTCATTTATAAATCTAATCGAATAATTTTTGAAAAGAAACATATAATTTGTCTTGGTCATCAAAGAAATAACGAGATTCGATTCGCTAATCACGTTTTATCTTCGCGTTCGTTATAAATCGATTTGATTAACGTGCACGAAGAAAAATCTTAATTGACCGTTCGTACATGGTAAGCAACTAACGAGTACCGATAAGATATATAAGTAACCGTAAGTACGTAAGTACGTTGTTTCGCGTAGGCGGTGAAAGGGATCCCGAGTAGAATCGCGAATGGAATCACCAAGAAGGAAATTAAACACGACTTTGCGAAAGACTTTGTTAAATATTTCACCCCCTCCATTGTAATCATTTCGTTTATCATTCCAACGCGGATCGACGATGCAACAATAATTTTAATAACGAATATACACACCTGTTGCTAATTCGGTTTAATCTTTTGTGAAAAAGGCAAACATTGAGGAAAAATGAGGTAATAAGAAAACGAGATAAAAAAGAGAGAGAGAGAGAGAGAGAGGAGGGGAAAGATAAAAGAAAAACTGGGTCATTAGAGCATAGTGATAGAGACTTATCACCATAACGATTCTTCATGCTTGTTTTTACATAATAATGTATAATAAGCTTGAAACAAGTGATAGAAGAATGAAAGAGAAAGAAAGGATAAGGATCAAGGCTATAATTTACAAAAAACATAAGATCTTTTCGGTCTATTTCTATAACGATAATTCGTTAACTTTACTTATACTAGCGCGTATATGTGGTTTTTACTCTTTTACATATTTAGGAAATAACTCACAATTAAGAGGACACATCTATTTTCTGTGGTAACTCCACCGCATCCTAACCAGCTTCCAACAACAGCCAAAATACCTGCAACAATGAGGGCATATGCGAGACTCTGATAGGTCGACGTTGTCATCAGAGATACGTAGCTGTGTTTCGAGACGACCGTCCAAATGCCAATACCGCCCACCACAAATCCGGATAACTGTAAAATAATGATACACGCATGTTGAAAATACGGTACGTACGCACGCACGCATTTAATAACCACGAGCTCCCAATTATTTCGTCTTTCCTTTTCATTTCCTCAAGAATTACGAATTTAATTATCAAATGGTTGTCATTATTTTTATTATGAAAAACGAAACGAGACCAGTTGAGTCATTTGAAAATGATAGTCAAGCGTTATATCCATCGTAGAATGAACAAGAGTTCTAGGGAAAAACTTGATCTCATAGTCCGAAGGGTTAATAATAATAATAATAAATGAATGAATCAACTCTTTATCTTTCGTAGTTATTTTGAAAAGAGTTGATAAAAATACGCTAACTTAGAGTATCCCTAAGCTTTTCCTCTAGCATTACTCTAGCGAATGTGTGTGTGCGTGCGTGGTAGTATATCGCAAGATCGAGAAACAAAGTTATGAGCGTAACTAGCACGCGAGCTGTCCACGCTCGTTCATTCAAAGTACTCGTGGTGTGCCCCCGAGAAACCTGAAAATCTCGCTTAGACTGGTTTTCTGGAATTCTCTCTTATGGCCGGTCTTCCACTCTACAGCTTCGAAACGCCTCCGCAAACGCCCCCGCAATACCTATCTCGTCTTTATCTTTCTCTTTGTCTCTCTCTCTTTCTCTCTCTCTCTCTCTCTCTCGCTCTTTCTCTCTTTCATTTCTCTTTAGATGCATCCCAGACATCATCTAAACACGTTGCACCGAGAGCACGAACGTGTATCTGTTGTGTCGTCGTTAGTCCGTCAACGATAGAACTTCCTTTCTAAACTTAAATTTAAATATAAAATCAAATATACTTTAAATTATTCAGATTTTGTGTGTTAATGCGAGTAGATAATAGTTTTTAATTTTTTATTTTTAAATTTCGGCGTAAACCCAACACAAAAAAACACATATCTTTTTCTTATACGATTTAATCGTAGTCGTAATTTCTATTTATTCTCATCCCTAATCATAAATTCCCAGTACAACGCATAGATCTCATCGATATAAATATATCGGTATAAAGTGGTGCAGCCACTGATGTAACATAAACATCCTTGTGTTTACGTAATTATGAAGGCAAGATTTTCATCTATCTATATTCCCTCGCCAAAATATGTCGGATCGTTTCCAATTTTAGGTTCTCCTCATGAATACAACATAGAGAGATATACCTTTATTCCTATAAGATCTACAAGAGATTGTATCTTTTTCGATGGATCGGTTAGATCATTATTACGAATCAATTAACAATATCATTCAAATAAATTATAAATCGTGATACATATAGATCTTAACCCTTCTGATTTCTAATCAAAATAATTTCTATAAAAATTATTGATCGCAAATATTAAAATGGGAATATAATTGATAAAAATAAAAATAAAACTGTATAACGTTTAAATGTGTGTGCAAGATGAAATTTGAGAATGATAAATAATTTAGCAAGTACATGGATTTTTTGAAAGGGTTAATCCGACGAATCTCCTTTGACTGGGTACGTCTTGAAGCTTTAGATGAAGATATAGAGAATGGGATAGAAGCAAAATGGGGAATGAGGAGAGACGGGTGAACGCACCAAGTTAAAGGTAGGTATATCCATTAGCATACGTCTAAGAAAGATCCCTTCACGACGATAGCTAGTCCCTTATTTACAACGCCTGGACCAATCAACCTCCTAGTTGCGTTCTCCAACGTGGGAGCCCCGATAAACTCTACTCGATTTAAAATGTCTGATGAAAGAAATAGAGAGAAAAAAAAAAGAGAGAGAGAGAGAGAGAGTCTATTTTAATACAAACTTTGTTAAGTCCTTCTAATCGTCTATCTATTATACATACAACATTTATTAAATCCGATCTTTTCTCTTTTCATTTTTCCATAAGAAAAACTTTTTCGTGTTCGATCTTTCGCAAATTTTTTCCATAGAAAATTTATTATATCCAATCTCGCGTTCATATTTAAATTTGATCTTACCGTTTTCTTTCGCATAGAAAATTTATTAAATGTCGATCTTCTCACGGTATCGTCCATGTAAAATCTCTTTCTAATAATCTGGGTTTCTATTTTATTTCTTTCAGCCCCCTTTACCACCCCCACCTCGCATAAAATACGTATTCGCGAAATTTGAAAGTTTCGAACATATATTATGTAATTTTCTCGACATTTTGTAATTCACGCATTTGCATAATTTCGCATAACGAATGCGTAGACCGAAGCAATTGGAACGTTCTAACACGCGAAAGCTTGGCAAACGGCCGAATTCTATTCGCAGTGGCGTTTCATGGAACTCGTTTTTCCTGATATATACATATATATATATTTTTCAAATAAAATTTAAATAGATAGAGAGAATCGGGGGGATATTGATTTTGTCGAAAAATATATAAATATATATGTATAATCGATACATCGATAAATCGCAATGACCGCCTGTTACGTAAACCTGATTTCTTATAATTATATTATGACAAATAAAATAAAATAAAGTATAAAGAGGAATGAATCAGATGAAATACGCGCATACTTACAAATAAGACGACATTGTAAATATGTAAAACATATTTGAGAAAATTGACCGAACAGCATCCGTCGTCTCTGGTTCTTAATCTTGAAGAGGTACCAGGTAATCTTTCGGAACTTTTAGCCATCTTCGATCGATTTGGGTCGAAACGCGTCACCGAATCGATCGTCACCTCGTCACCGGCACTATAACATATCAAAAGAAATGAGGGCTGAAGGAGGGGGTTGGGTTATTCGGAAATAAAAGACGAAAAAACTTTGAAAGGATAACGGAAGCTATAGGCGTTTAATATTTTTCTTTCATCTACTTCCTTCGAAATGAATCTAACATTTTTTACGACTCATAAGTGTCAAATCAAATGGAGAAAAAAAAGTCAAGAAGAAAGAGAAACGTAAAAGGTAAAGAGACGTTTTCTTTTTTCGAAGATGGGTGGTGGGATCGTGAAAGTGTCGAAACACAGAGAGAAGAAACGAAAAGGAAAAGGAAAAGGAAAAGGAAACGAAATGGGTGTGACTCCGTACGCCCTTTTGATACGTTCCTTTGTTACTCAAGCGGTTTCGAACATAGGAAAGAAGAAGAAAAAGAAGAAGAGGAAGATGAAGAGGAAGAGGGGAAAGCTATAAACGCAGAGGTGTTACATTAAAAAACGTTTCTTGGTACGAAATGACAATCCTTAATGACTTGCAAGAACATTTCTTGCAACGAGAGACGTCCGATTTGAAAAAGTACAAGTTCGCGAACGATCAGTTACGAATGCTACGATAATTTGAAACACGAATGAATAGGAAGAAGATAAAGGCTATAAACGTAGCTATAAAAACAGAAAGGTGTTACGTTAAAACACGGTTTTACTTGGCATCGAAGTGACAATATATCTGTAAATGAAGACTCGTAGGAAATGTACGATTGAAAAATACAAATTGGGGAGTAAGTTTTCACACATGGGTAAATAACAGTTAGTTACGAATATAAACGATTGGATGATTGGCGTTCGATCTATTCCCTTCGTAGTTAAGAATAGCAAAAAGGGGGAGGGGGAGAGAACATATGTGTGTAGTTTACACTAAAACATGTTTCTTTTTTTACGTCAAAGTGACAATCGGTAATGACTGGTAAGAAACGTAGACTATGACGAAACGTCCGGTTGAGAAATAAAAGTGCAAAGTGTAAGAGGAGTTTGCCTTGCTGTTGCTGGTATATATAATAGTTAGGTATAGTTATAGACGATTGGGGGAGTCCGCGTTCGATCCATTCCCATCAATTGGCTCGCACGTTGAACGGTGCCACGTTCCCAGCCTAGATATATCCTCATTTATCCCAATGTCCTATACCGTACACGGTAGACGACCAATTTTCCAATCGAGCCAATCATTCAATCGCATTAACCTTGCTGGCCATTCACAAACCCCCGCGTTGCATTTTATTGCTAGGTTCCTCCTAGGATTAGGTAGAGAAAAAAAAAAAAAAAAGAAAAGGAAAAAAAAGAACAGCAAATTTCTATAAATGAAATATCTTTTTCTATATTCTATTTGTTTCATTTTGTTCATTTTTGTAGGTATTTTCCTTTGAAATGATGCACCTCTCGACGCGTTTAAAATGTAAGATTGAAAACGGGCTTGGCAGCGGGCAATGAAGGAGTGCTCTGTGTTTCGTTGAAACGAATGAAACTCGAAACAAGCTTGGATTATGGCGACGAAGTCGAGTTAAATAGAGCAACGTTAGATACACCGTACCGTTAGAAAGACGTACGAATTAACGTGCTCGTTATACATGTGCCATTTGCATGGAACTTGTCGAATGCGCGTACAACATCTTTTCTCATTCAAACCAGTTCGCATTTCGTCTATTACCAGTTCTCTGACAGTTATACTTTTTCGTACGTTTTTTAACGTTCATATTTTGTAGTCAATTGACTATTCTAATTGCCGTAAAAGAATTTTGTTAAAAGATTTTGTTACTACGATGATTCTCGGTTTTATCGATGTTCGTTCTTCGGTCAAAAAAAAAAAAAAAAAAAAAAAAAGAAAAAAAAAAAGAAAAAAAAAGAAAAAAACAAAGAAAAAAAAGGAAGATATAGAACTGGATTGACGTGAAGTGTTCCAACACTTTTAGTTGCTCTTATTACGAATCCGTTCCAAAGTAATATATCCAACGCGGTCTATCGATTCCGTCTTATCGCGGGATGTAAATCGATCGACCATCTGGCCGGTCTTTATAGAACACGCTCGTCGAACAAGTCGCGAAGGACGAACGTTAAAAAGATACCAACGAAATAAGAAATGATTTACGCGAATGATTTTCCTCCTATTTAATATTTATAATAAAAATTTCATATATATATATATATATATATATATATACGAGAGAGTATATAAAATGTTAACTTACAATGCGTCATTGGTGAGTAAATTCGGATCGATCTTTGGTACGCATTTCCATTTAAGAATCCTCGAAGGTTTTCCACCGCTCGGCTAATTGTCCTAAACACAAAAGAAGAAAATAAAAAACACAAAAAAAAAAAAGAAACACACAAAATGCAAAAGTGTAAATAATTATCGAGAAATAATAAAATGAAGATTTTGACGTTTAATGTAATCGAAGGAAATAAAATACCAAGAGGAAAATAAAAGCAAATAAATAAATAGCTAATAAAGACAGGAAAGGGTTAAGATGGATGCCATATAAGAATCATTGGCATTACCACTACTCCTACACGCATACATATATATCTATATACACATAGAGCAGTGATATTCAGAGAGGATATTCACCTCGAAACACTCGAGTTCGTTTCTCTATCCTCTCTTTCTAGTTTCTCTTGGTCGTTCTCGCCTCGATGTGCCTAGTACCGCAACAGGTAATCTTCTTAATCCTTTTCAACCTGTCCTGAGATTCATCATCGTTTATATTACTAACAAAGTGGGCTTCCCATTTAATAAGAATCGGTTAACTAACCCTTAAGCAGAGACGTAAATAAAACAAAACTGATACAATCCTTTTAGAAAAAAAAAAAGAAAAAAAAGTATGAGGAAGAGTAAGATATAAGATGAAAAATCCATGCGACCATATGTATCTTTTCCGGTCCTTGACGCGTTCAAGTATACTAATTTAAAAGGTAACATCGAAAAGCTACATAATCTTAAGTTAAAAAGTTTTTAACGAAAGCTTGGTTACTTCATTCGATTATGCCAATCGACCTCACTTTGTTCGAGCTCGTTACATATTATCACGATCAATCTATTCAATAAAACAGAGGTCACGATACGTTTGACCAGCAAAAGGAAACGCGACTCCAATTCGTTCGCGAATTCAATTTTTCTTTTTACTTTCTTATTTGTTTTTTTTTCTTTGCGATATTCTAATGTATTCATTTTGACACTTTAATTCATTTATCGTGTTGTTCTCTCTCTCTTTCTTTTTTTATACTGGATACATTAGATCTAGAAAAAAGTTTGACCTTTTAATTGAAAAATGATGACATTTTTATTTAATTAATGCCAATAGTTGGGTGAAAGCTTTTAAATTTGTTTCGCGAGTATATAGAAATGACATTTATGCATTTATCGTAATTTTTTAATTTCTAAATAAATTATTTCCGTAAAATCGTTCAATTTTGATGAATAAATGTATCAAACTAAAGTGAATCGTCCTTGATCGTAGATAAATCCGTGATACCTAATACCATTATTCGCATTATTTGGAGCAATAAAGAAGAGCGTGTAAAAGTGTTAATATTATTATTAAGCGTTTATTAAATAAGAGCAGAGATATTAAAGAAGTGGTGTACGTAAAGATTGTATATCAACGTGGATTGATTTTTCGATCTATATTTTCTGTTTATTCTACTGGCAATTAATCTTTCGGAAAAGATGATAAAAGGAAAAAAAAAAGAAATAACAGTTTAGTGACGGAACGTCGAACGAAGAGAGGGAGATACAAATGAAAGAAAGAAAGAAAGAGGATCGGCTGTAGTCAATTGGAAGTTGTTTTCTTCCTTCTTGGCAAGGAAGTCACGAGAACGAACGGTAACTAATAACGTGGAGATCGTGACTCACGACACGAATCGTGATATAACCAACAAGATCACGGACATTGGCCTTTTCTCTAGATCTCTACAAAAAAAAAAAAAAAGGAAAAAAAAAAGTAAAGAAAACAAACCTAAAATATAAACGCATCGTCCTCTTCTTGATCATTATTCTAAATATAGTTAAAACATGATATAACATATATTTGCTAATTCAAATGTGTTTAAATGGGAAACGCGATCTCGTAAGAAAAATTATTTTTATTTTTATTTGATTTGAAAATTCTCGTAGGCTAGCTAGCTAGCTAATAAACAAACGAGTAAATGAAAGGGGAAGGAAAAAAAGGAAAGAAAGTTGCACAATGTAGCAAATATCGATAGTAGTTGAGTTCGCTCGTGTCGCTCGGAAAGGAGTCTTTTAATTGGCAGTAGGAACTTTGAAAAGGGAGGAAGAGGGGAAGAAGGTAAAGGGGCACTAACCCAACACAACGTTCCTGTAACTCGACGATGCGAATTTGCATCGAAGGAGAGGACAGGAGAGGACAGGAGAGGAGAGGAGAGGAGAGGAAAAGAGAAGAGAAGAAAAGGAGTTGGAAGCTGATCTCCATTTAAGGCTATGATTCGTGAATCGTGGCGAGATTTTAAGTATAATACGGAGGTAAACGCGATATCGATGGAGTCCTCTCTTTTATGGGACCTCCCAAACCCCCGTTTACGAGATCTTACGAGACCTTATTAGTTTAATTAACGTTCGCTTCCGTTACTCTCTTTGAATTTCATTTCAACTTTTCTTAACTTACATTAAACGAATTCGTTTGATATTATTTACCTGGTCTTTTTTTTTGTCATCTTAACTCGATAAATAATGAATTAATGTTTTCCAATTAATGTCTACGAGTTGTAACAAAAGTACACGTGAAAAATTTTAAGAAACGTATCTCTTTACGCGTAGGGAAGATAAAATGAGACTTTTTCGAGTATCATCTCATCAATTTCATCAATTTTTGTTCATTCCAATTATATGTATTAACTGAAATGATTATACATGCCCGTATATAATTTGTATATTATTTTATTTGCAATTGTTTATATATCAACAAAATCCAACCGACATATACGTTTACGTATTACGAATACATATCGCGTAATTAATACGTTTAAAATAAAGTTCTATCAAATGAAAGAAAAAGAAACATCGTGAAAGTTTGCGTCGAGTATTTTTCTTCTTACATTCGGGTATTTATGAAATCTGATTATACATGGAAGATAAAGAAGTACTTATCATTTTACGTTAGATCGATTTACTAAGAAATTCAAATAATACGCATACACTTCTATCTTATGCGAACGTTAAGCAAACAGAGAGAGAGAGACAGAGAGAGAGAGACAGAGAGAGATCTCGTGGAAAGGTAAATATTTGTAAGAGTGAACACGTCTGAAGAACGTATTCGTAAAAGTAGCGCCAAGCGGTCTCTTTCATCGAACGGCCAATAGACTCGAAGTTAGGTAGAATAGAGAAGGAAGATGATTGGTTGGTTGAGAAAGACGATATCGCTTCGAAAGAGACACAAGCAACGCGGCTCTCTCCAAACACGCGCGTTTCTATACGCTATACATCACTTCTCTTTCCATCTTCTTTTTCATACTATTCTATCTTTCACGTAGCGTCTGCGATCTCTCTACGTCATAAAAAGAAACGTATCCCAAGGTTCTGAAAGTCAACTACTTACTGCTGCTCCATGTTCTCGAAGACTAGGCTAGAAACGAGGACAAGGACGCAATCGGTAAGATCATTAAATTAAATAAAAAACAACAAGTGAAAAATAAGTAAAATAAAATCAAAGGAAACATGGGAGAAGATTATTAACGCGATCGTTTTTTTCGGTAGTTGATTTAAATTTGTATTTACTTACCGAGCAGTCGTTGAAGTTCCTTCGATTAATCAGAGTAGACGCGATGCGACGAGGGAAGACCCCTTGGTGCAAGTCAAACAAACTAATTGTAAGATTCTTATGCGCAAAGGGGAGGATTTGTGCAAAGGATAATTAATTAATTAAATACAAAAATAAAATCAAATGCAGTCTTCCTCGTAGATCCTCTTCCTGTCGGCACGCACGGCACGAAAATCGACCGCGAGATCGCGTAATCGTCGCGCGACCTTCGAAACTTTGATTATCTTTACTTAACAAAAAAAAAAAATTACGAAAGGTATGAAAAACCAATGTAAAAGTATTTTTACGAGAGGTCTTTTTACAAAGGAAAATGATAAGCAAGACGATTCACTGTGGCAACACGTTCGAAGGGCGAAAAAAATAGTTGCAAAAATGCGACGGAACGCGATAGAAGGCGACGTAACTCTTCCTCCGAAAGATTGAGCGCGACTGACGGGTTCGCGACGCGCCGGCTTCCCCCACTCCTCCGAGCCGACTCCCCACCACACCGCACGCTGCTACACATCTCCACCAACTTCTTTCCCCATAACATTCATCGAGATATCAAATACTGCTTCGCTAGTTATCGCATAATATAACGATTTCATCTATAAACGCGATCCTCTTCCATTTTTTTATTTCCCGTTACGTCAGCTTCGCAAAACGCAACATAATTCAATCGCGCGATAGTATACTATGTTTGCTTAAGGAAGCGATAAAGAAATCAGATTATCGTTACTTTGTTTTTTTTTTTTTTTTACATACTCTTTAGATTTATATTAGCGTCATTGTATTACTGGCTAAATGCATAGGTTTTTTTTTTCATTTAAAAGATTTTACACGAGACGTCCCTCTTTAATAGAAAATTTCAGTTCTATTTTAATCGATAAAAGTAAGATGATCGATGGTGAGAGCTTTATATTACGAAATCTAATTTTCTTATTTTTTTTTTTTTTCTTTTTTTTTTTTTCAAAAAAAAAAAAAGCTTTCGGTCTATATATATATATATATATATATATATGTATATGTGTATGTATGTATACATGTGTGATCATGGAACTATTCGATTAAACGAACGTCCCGTGAATTATTTACAAAGCTAACGGATCACACATATTATCGTGCGTTACATACGTAATAAGAATTTATTTCTATTCTTCTTCTTCGCATAGAAGATTTGAAACGAATGCAGTGACCGCGTATGCGCAAGATTAAAGTATAAATCATCTAGATTGTGTTTTTCTTCTTCTTCTAGGACACAGCGTTCGTTTCAAAATAAGAATCGTAGACGAGTCTAACGATAAGACGTTCCTAAATTCTTGTTCCCGTCTTCTTCTTCTTCTTCTTCTTCTTCTTCTTCTTCGTGAGGATGATCGCGCGACGAACGATGACGATGAAGATGACCACGATGGATGACCATGACGATGACCAATGGCGATAAACGAAAGGTATAATGCTGATGTGTTTGTTCGCTGTGTTCAACGAAGATTAATTTCTTCGTGTTTCGTTGATTTTGTCTCGACAAAATTACGAGGCAGGTGCTGAAATAAAAAATATATAATTCATATGTTGTAAAATATTTAAGATTTTAAATAAAAAACTCATTAAGAGTTTTCATTTTAAAAGGAATTGAACGAAGAGGAACAGCTCCAACGTCACGAGCAGAGTTATTAATTCGACGACGATCAAAACTAGTAACGCAAACAGGTTGGCTCGATTTTTTCGAGATTCGACGAGATACTCTGCGCCTTTGGTGGTAAGTTTTATGAATAATGATAGACGAGATAGATAGACGATGAAGAAGACGAATGAACTACGAAGAACAAGGCACGTACTAATACACTTTAAGATGAGACTACTTAATTATGAACACTTTCCAGCTAAACGATTACTAATGAACGTAAAGATACTATTATTAATCGTTCTACTAATGATCCTTGTCTACTATACGTTTTTTTCTATTTCGTGTCTCGACGTACCGTTCGTGATGTACTTAGCTCTATTTGGCGTATGATTTCTTCTGATGACGATCGAAACTCTCAAAATCAAAACAAGATTAGCTAAAAATTAAGTTGGAAAAAAAGAAGAACATTAATGACGCAACTTTGATGCGATACTACGACCGCAAGGACCGCAAGGATAGGACGATGCGACCAAGTTCTCTAATATACAACATTTTCTCTAAATATGAATATATTAATGAGACGAACTTTCAGCAGGCGCTGGCGCAGGTGGAGCTGCTGCTGGTGGTGCTGCTGCATCCGCTGGTGGAGCCGCTGCTGGTGGAGCCGTTGCTGGTGGAGCCGCTGCTGGTGGTGCTGCTGCATCCGCTGGGGGTGCAGCCGGTGGTGGTGCCGCTGCATCAGCTGGAGGAGCTGCTGCTGGCGTGGCTGCAGCATCCGCTGCTGGTGCTGGTGCTGCTGCTGCTGGATCCGCAGGAGGAGCTGCACCTTCGGCCGTTGGAGCCGGAGCCGGTGGTGCTCCTTCCGCTGGTGGTGCACCTAAATAAATCACTCGATTACTCGTCAGCTTCTCATAAATTATTCGAGTCCAAATTTCGATACCTTCGGCGGCAGGAGCCGGTGCAGGTGCACCTTCTGCGGGAGGCGCAGCTCCCTCGGCGGGGGTGACTGCCGGTGGTGCTCCTCCTGCTGGGGGTGCACCTTCGGTAGCTGGGGGTGCACCTTCGGTAGCTGGGGGTGCACCTTCGGTAGCTGGGGGTGCACCTTCGGTAGCTGGGGGTGCACCTTCGGTTGCTGGGGGTGCACCTTCGGTTGCTGGGGGTGCACCCTCGGCTGGAGGTGGTGCACCTTCGGCTGGTGCTGGAGCAGCTCCTTCAGCCGGTGGTGGGGCAGCTCCCTCGGCTGGCGGAGCACCTTCTATACGTCGAAAATCGTATCATTTCGAATCGAATCATTTCGTTTTCTTTCAGATATAATTAAATATCAATACCGGCTGGTGGAGCAGCCGCCGGAGGAGCTGGTTCCGGTGCAGGTGCTGGTGCTGGTGCTGGTGGTTCAGCAGGCGGCGCTGGTGCTGGTTCAGGTGGTGGTGGTGCTGGTGCTGGTTCAGGTGCAGGGGCTGGAGCTGGTGCAGGTTCCTTGGGTGGAGGGGGTGGAGCTTCGGGTTCCTATATATATACAAGGTATCCGTACTTTTCAAACCCAATTTCCCTTTTTTTCAACAGTTGGTAAAACGACTCTATTACGTTTCTTTGCTCTTCTACTTTACTGTACGACAACTGCAAATATGTCTACGTATTTTTACTTAACGATAATCGTGTGTGCTTCTAATTTTATTTTTAATTCTTAAATAAATCACGTGTCCTGCCAAAAAGGAGAATATTATTTTGATATTCTTATATCTCTCTTATCAAATAATTCGTCATTCTCCTTTTACAGTTGCTATCATCGAAAATTTTTAAAAAATGTATTCATTAATTATTGTCACTGATCTTACCAAACAGGCTCGGGCTCGACTATCGACAAAACACATTAATTAGATCACAAATAAAGGTGTACAAAAATGTTGAAACATATAATTAACATAATTGATTATCCCCAGTCGAATATTCATACGTCTCTGGCACTTTCACTTTGTGTTATAGTTCACGTAAAAAATACACGTAGAAGGAAATCATTCATTTATTAACATAAAATGGTAAACGAATAATAGAAAAGAGCAGGAGAGATGATAAGATGGAAATGGCTAATTTGTTTATTCCAATTAATTTTGTATTAATATTTTCAACGACGTGTTTATTATTATTCGACTGTACTATTCGGTCGTTCGATATTTGAAAAAAAGAAACTTTTTGACTGTACGATCATTCGAAACATAACGCATACGTATACTTACGATTACAAAAGAGGGGTAGGGCAGAGATTGGTAACAATATGGGAGATTTAAAGAAAAGGGAGAGATATACAAGAAGGGTACAAAAAATGACAACAGCACACACTCATTTTTGTAGTCAAGTATTTTGCTTTACAATAAACCTTAAATAATGATTCCCTTATTTTCTCGCAGCCATCTTTCGTCATTAGCATTCGCGTCCCCACGTGTGTAATAGAATATAAATAATAAAAGTGTGTGTGAAAATCAATGGAAATTATCTTAAACAGATGTGTACAATAATTAGAAAGGAATTAGACAATTGAAGGATTGAATGTACATTGATTTTTGACAGAGGGACATCGATTGGTTAAAGAATTATCATTACAAATTGTAGAACAAATATGAAAGATAGAGAACAAAAAAAAAATAAAAAGAAAATAATGAAGAACAAACGAAAAATAAGGGGAGAACGGGGAAATTAATAAAATAATTATTTAAAGAACAACCGAGCCGTTTGTTATATGCTCTGAACGAATATAAAATATCCATTTGTGTGCTCGTAATTCGAGGAGAACAACACGACGGCATGGATATTTTCTTTTATCGATCCATTTTGTTTCACGCCTCGACTTCTTCTTCCTTTACCTTCTTCTCCTCGCCCTTCTTCGACCAGTCAGGTTTTTTCTGTAAAATCAAGAGAGAAACCGTGCGTTAAATTAAATATCCCAATGCCTTTGGAGAAAATAAACAAATATTTTTGCATAGTCAATTCTTCACACGTTCTGGCTTGGTTATTGTAATGGTGCCAAAGGGTGAACGATCGCAAAAGCATAGTCAAACGAGGGGGGGGGGGCGAGGGGCGGAGATAAATCGTTTTCGTGAACAATTTCTGTTCGTTATCTACTTACGAAAAAAAAAAAAAAGATAAAACAAGAAAAGTATAGAAGAAAAGATCCTAATCGAAAAATATCGCGACCTGTCACAGTTTTCGTGGTCTTATTATTATTCTGCTTCTTCTTCTTCTCCTTCTCGAGAAAATGAAAATGAATCTCTGTGTAATTTCTCTAACACCAAAAATGAAATAAAAAAAAAAACCAAAAAGCCGTGCATAGAGAAAAAAAAAAAAAACTCTGACGCCATTTTGCTGCAAGGCTCGCGCGTTGCGAATTAGATTTTTAATTAGAAAATTTGTACGAACACAAAATTCAAATAGTAGTAGCAGCCAGAGACAAAATTAACGATCGACGAATTTCTAACGAATTTCATCTACGACAAAAATGAATACATTAATTTTCTCTCTTTTCGATCTAAATATACGCAAAATGTAATTTTATTAATTAAAAAAAAGAAGATTGGATAACAACGTGAAAAGAAAGAAAAGATATTACGTTGGAAGAGAAAAGAAAAGAAATGAAATAAAATGAAATAACGGAAAACGAAAAACTCTAAAAAGTTAGCAGCGTTGAAGCCAAATAAACATAAAGCTTTGTTTCTGTTTTTTTTGGTGTTTTTTTCTTTCAAATTAATTTTTCTTTCTTTCGCTACTTTCTATCTTGATATTATTGTCGTTGTTCAGTTACTTTCAATTACTCGTTTCATTCGTTCGTTCGTTCGATTACGTTCATTCGCTCGTTCGACTTTCATTCTCTACGAATTTCCTAAACGAGCATGCCGAGCTTAACGATCGGCATTTTGAAAAATTTTACCTTATCTTTTAACGCGTTCTGCGAACATAATGCAAGAGCAATATCATTAGTATAAACAGACAACAGACAAATAGATAGGAACGAAACAATGGACAACAAAAATTATTTCAAGCGTACGTTTATTCGTTCGCGATTCGATTAATCGAGAATAGAATAAATGTAACGTGAAAATATCAAATCTAATAAATCACATAAAATCGAATCGCGAACGACGAGAAATGATCGTTCGGCATATCGATTTTTTATAGAATAAAAAGTTGAAATAATTAATGAATTTAATTATGACAAGGTTTATTTCTTTTTCAATATTTTCAACTCTTCCGTCGATAAATCGAACGATCATTGTACGAACGAAAAAGTAAAACATAACAAATGATCTATGCACTTTCAGCCTTGAAGCACGGCAGTCGAATAAATAATAGACGATAAAGCCAATAACAAAAATGCGTCTTTTGCGTGAAACAATATTCTTTAGTCTCCCGTATATATTTATATATTTGTTTTTTAGTTAAATCTTTTATTAATAAACGGTCGCGTTACTTCGATCCTTTCGTTCTTTTTATTCTATTTTTGTTTGTTTTTTTTCTTCTTATCTACTACTGTAATTAAAAATTCAAGTTGATATGAAATTTGAACTATAGAATCGAAATTGAAACGAAATTGAAACGATAGTTCGAAGTATGTAATATATTAGCGTCCGAAAAAAATCAGATAATAATGCTAGCACTCGTTAGGCAAAATTCAATTAAATTAAATGCGTAATTGCGTTTGTATACGTGTATTTGTATATTCGTACGTATATCTAATTGTAAATATGTTTGTGCATATATATAATATATCTGTTCGTATGCATGTAGGTTCGTGTGCATGTATAATGCAAGAGAAATAAATATAAGAGAAAAAAATAGGGCAGGCATAATATTTTTAGTGTCAGTAGAAGCGTTTTTGCCATATATTATCAACGAAAAAATGAGAAGAAAGTGTTCGAGCTTATAAATGTTTTTTCTTTTTTTTTTTATTATTTCCATTTTTATTCAATTATATTATTTGATTTATTTCTTTCAATCACTTTTTCTTTTTTTTTTTTGTAAATTATACTCTGCAAGCCATTCTCACCTTTTTCGCCCGTTCTTTTTATTAATTCCTAAAACCTCATTTTTTACTTTTTGTATTCTTCTATGGCATTCTCACTCTCTGTTTCAGTTATTTAATTATCATTCAATTGTTTCTTTTTTCATTTCATCGCGCGATCCTTTCTTCCGTGTTGGATAAACATAACAATTATCTACGAATATTTCTATATAGGAATACTTGATTAAAAAAGCAATAAATAAAAAAGTAACTCATATCAACGATAGTGATAAAAAAGATAAAGGACAAAAAGAGTGGCAATCGAGATTAGGCGACGCAGCCGAACTTTTCAAAGATACGTAGGAGGAAAAGAAACGGAATACAAAAAAAAAAGTTGTCAAGAAGAAAAACAGGGAAAGTACGGCAGCGTTTCGTAAAAAATAAATAAAAATATAAAATAAAATATAAAACGAAAGAGAGGGAAAGAATAAAAATGATGAAACGGTGCACCGTCGATATTGGGAATAGATACGAATATGGTTGTATCTGTTTTTTCGATTCTTCCTTCATCACGCATGGGTACTCGATTTTTCGATCGTTTATTGGATCATCGACACAGACCAATTTTCTTCTTCTCTACGTTTAAACGAAACCTTGATAAATTTTGATCGATCGATCGTAGGTAGGTTCGTTCGTTCGTTCTTTTTCTCGAGAATTAAATTTCGTTTACAAAATCCTACGAACGTTTTTTATATAACTTTAATTTATTTTTCCTTTTTATCGAGAATAGAAAGAATTTTCGGTTCTTTTGTATGCGAAAAAGAATTGACAAATTGTTATCGATCGTATCTTTTAAATGGAATTCGAAAAATTCGACTACATAATTCCGCGTTAAAATCCTATATTAAACGTTGTCCAAGCTCGAAATTCTCGTGGGAACAAAACTATTTCTTTCTTTTTTTTTTTTCTTTTTTTTTTTATTTCCTTTATAATTTTTCAATTTATTCATTCTCATGGTTTGAAACGAAATTCCATTCGTTAATAAAATGAGGAAATCTAGGTTTATACCGTTTAAAACGAGCATATACGTCTCAGTCTGTTATGTTTGTATGTATTGTAAGTAATTTAATTGTATTGTAACGTACGTATATGTATTCGAGCTGTTTCTCAATATATGTATGTACATTATAGGATTATTTATATATATAACTATATATATGTGTGTGCATGTACGTTTCTTTCTTTCTTATGTATTTTTTGTTCTTTTGTTAAATTAAATTATTGAATTCTCATTCGGCCCGTATTCGTAATCTATTTCTTCGTCTGCCATTCTGCTTTCTCGGACTTCTTGGGCTGTGAAGAACAACACAATTGCCTAGTCAACTATCTCTAAACTATTATTATACAACTATCATGATTATTATAAATAATACGAGACGATTAATTAAACGTGATCATCCGGTATTACGTAGAAAAATTGGGACAAAATTTCATGTCGGAATGGAATATCGTCGTTGTCTCGACAAAATCAATCCTTTAGTCGAGAAAAATTTGGTTGGATGGGGTGGTAAACAAAATTCAATTCATTACTTTTTTTTTTCTTCTAACAAATCAAAAAAAAAACAATACTATGTTCTACAATTACAAAAGAAAAAAACTGGCCACAAAATAAAGAAAAGAAAAAGCGAGCCGATTTTGATAATAATAGTGATCGACTTAAAGATGACAAAAAAGAAAAAAACGTAGCTTTGCCTTTTCTAAGCCAAAAACCAAAAAGAAAAAGTATACGATTATGATTAAAAAAAAGTAGTATCCTTTTTTTTTTTGTTTCTGCTTCATAGACGTTCCATTTTCTAGAAGTCCCAAAAAAAACAAAACGAAAAAGAGGCTGCTGTTGTTGTGAAGGAGGAAGAATAGAAAATAAGAAAAATAATTATCCTTCCTGTTTGTGTCGGCCAACAAACAACCCCACAACAAAAAAATAAGAGAAAAGATATATCTTTCTCTAATAAAATACATACATATATAGCTAATCGCGTTCTAAATATAGATAAATCTAATCGATAACGATCTATCGTACCTCTTTATCCTCCTCCTCGAGAGTGAATTCCTTCTTCTTAACTTGTTTCAATTGATTACGGAAGTTGAATTCGGCTGCTTTCTTTTGAAGTTTAGCGAATTTGTTCTCGTATTTCGAAACCTTCTTCAGGGTTGGCTTCATGCTAAGAACAAAATAATCGAAATATAACGATGATAAATAATTGTTGATTTCAATGATTGGAAAAAGAAATTTCATTGAAATGAAATCAATTTGAAATGGGTTCAAACAAATGTGATACTTACAATTTACCTCGAAGGTCATTCACCTGGCTGTTCAAGTCAGAGATCTATACCACATTTGAGAAGACAACGATTAGTAATACATTTGTCAATGAGATAGTTTCATTTAAATACATTGACGTGCACGTTTTTCATCATGCGTATTTTTTTCTTTTTAGGATAGATCGAAATACCGTGGACAATATCGGTAAATCGATAATGAAGCAAATAATAATAGACACACGTTATATCGACATATCAAAATTCTACGGTGAAATGATTTTTATCTCGAAAGACGATCGATTTTTTTTATTATCTTACATATTGAAACTCTCTCTTTCTATTTAACTTATCTCCAATATTTTATATTTTTCTCAAAAAGTTCTTCGATCGTCTTTCTGTCGAGCGTGTATAAAAAAAGGCTAAAAATTACACAAGAAAAATGAAATTTTGTTGACACACAATCATATCCCACATGCATCAGCGTTGTTCGTTTGATTCGGCGCATAGATAAACGGTAAGTAAAAAGATCAAAAGAAGAAAAGAGATAGAAAGATAGGGAAAAAAAGGGGACGAGTAGGATATATATATAAGAAAAACACGCATGCGAATTGAATCAAGGGGCGGGGAGGGAAGCTATTTTTGATCGGGATGGAGAAATAGTTGAGAAAGAAAATATTTGTTTTGCGAGAATAGTTGGCGAAGCACAACGTAGTAGCATTGTAATCAAAGGAAATTGTTCGTTGATCTCTTCGAAGATCGATACGAGTTTAAGGGAATAAAAGCGTGATCAGCGAAAGATAAGGGTGGACTTGCTCTAAAAAAGCGACAGGCCGAAAAGGGAAAGGGTTGAAAGAATTTTTCTTTGCTGTTTCTCGAAGTGGAAACACTTCGAGTATGTGTGGGTGTCCGTGTGTATCGACTTTGCACATAAATTGTCTATGCATTTTTAATATTTTATATTTTCATTTTATTATATAAAAATACCTGTAGTATTTTACTTCAAACACATACCGAGATTATTTATTTCAATATAAAATAATAAAAATGTTTAAACTATATTTATTATATATAGCTAAGCCAATAATATGCATCTAAATAATATTTACTTATCGACGTTCCCTAATGTGTGTATCCAAGATAATCTTCTATATCTGGCGAAAAGTTTTTCATTATAATTCTAAATTCGTCAACGGTTCGATCATTGCCAATTATTATTCTCTTTGAAATAAAATAAAAAAATCAAATAAAATAAAATACTCGATAGGAAAGCAGGTACTTGTGCTATTTATTCCATCACATAAATGTGATATGTAAACGTGTATATAAGCGAGTCTATATATAAATCCAACAAAATTCATTGGGAATGATGTTAAAGTAAATAACTTTCATATATATTGTATATGTATAATTTGAAATATAAAAAAAAGTTATTTTCGGATAGACTTGATCACGCGTATTAACACGTAACACGATTTTTCACATTTATTTTCGACGTGAAAAGAAAACAATAGTGTTTAGGAAGTAGGATTCTAGGAAATAAATGAAAATTTGATAAAGAAAAGATAAGTTCGATCGCGAGAAGGCTGGTCTTGATCAGACCTTCTCTCTTTCGGTTGAATCGACCGAGAAAATAGAAGAAAGAAAAAAAAAAACTCCATCACACACAATTGGTTCTTCGAATTTTACGAAGAACTATTTTATATTCCTCGTCGTGCATCCGTCGTGCAATAATTATCGAAATAAACGTGTCCGTGATCTTGCGAACTCCCGCAAAAACCGGGCCCATCATTAGATCCATCGAAATTCCAATTCACTTTTCTCTCTTTTCACGATCATTAGAAAAAAAAAAAAAAAAAAAAAAAAAAARAAAAAAAACATTAATACAAAAGAATGAGTCGCATTAATATTACGTACACGAACAAATAAATGTAAAAAAACCATTTCGATAGATCTAAAAATAAATATAAATGTTGCGATATTTTATTATTCACGTTAAAATATAAAAATCGATCGAACGCAACATTACAAAATTCGATCGAACGGTGAAAAAAAGAAACAAAAGAGAACAAAAAAAATAGGGACAAGAAAATATATATACGTATATGTATATATCTTTGTGTGTGTGTGCAAAATCAAAATAAATCATTGTCCATAGTCATAATAATTCACGCGAACAATTATCAGACCGCGAATAGGTCAATTATTTTCGCGTTCTTTTACATCTATATCACGTAACAACTAATGATAAAAAGCTAGCTGGCACAGTGCACGGGGCGGGGGCGGGGGCAGGGGAAATAATTGGAAAGAGATAAAAATAAGACGATGGTTTCGTGGGGGCGGGTGAGATGAGGGGGGCGGTCAGTAAAGGGGTAGGTAAACGTCATAATATATGGGAGTTGCACGATCGTTGCCGCGCGATCCTGTTATTCGCGCATAACATATCGTATTATAGTATTATAAAATCTACAAAAAGGGAAATGAAAATAGGGGAAAAAAAGATTATGCAAAACTCGTCTCGCGGTTATATAGATGTGTGTGCGTGTGTGTCGTGTATATTGCACCACCACCACCATCCTCTCGAGCCGGTCTGCCTTTGTGAGGAGAAAGAGAGTTAAAAGTGGGAGAGAGAGAAGTCAATTTTCAAACGCGTATTATATTTTTAAATTGAAATAAAAAAAAAAACAAAAAAAAAACAATTAAGACAAATTATATCGAACTTATTAAAAAAGCGTGGCGTGTGGGGGGAGGGGAAGTTATAATCTACTTTATTTTCCTTGTTTTTTGTATGCTTCTTTGGTTAAGGGTGGAAACAATGTACGATTCTTATCTACTTGCGTAGATAAAAGATAAAAAGAAAAAGAGAGAGAGAGAGAGAGAGAGAGAAATAAGGTGTATAGGACGATAATAAACAAAGACGAGACTAGTCGATAAAAGGACACTAATAGAAATATATACGTGCGAAGCCCTCTAAACAAATTATCGAATATATTAATTAACGATAAAATAGCATTGTCGTTCTTTAGATTTTCCCCCACGCCCTTCCCCCGTTCCTGAGCTTATTGCTCATCCTATTGTAATAAAAAATAACTTGTTAAGTTCCTTTTTCTCGCGCGAGGAACATGAAGTGCCAGATTGTTCGTGGTATAGTAGTGGAATCGCGCGGCTAGAATCATGATTTGAATTCTTTTAAAAAGCAAGGAATTAAAAGAAGCTGCTAGCTGGCTGGTGGTTTTGCTCTAACAAAAGCCATGCATGCTCTCTCCTTCTCGAGAGCAAGAAAAAAAAGGAGAGAACAGAGAGAAAGAGAGAGAAAAAGAGAGAGAGAGAGAGAGAGAGAGAGAGAGAGATAGAGAGAAGAGAGAAGAGAGAGGGAGGTTTTAAATACTCCAGATATATAAATACATATATAATATATATGTAAGTATGTATATATGTATGTATGTACGTGTTTGTGCGTGTATATATATATATATATATGTACCTATTCTAATTGTAAGCCCATTTTGCGTCAGCTTTCGAGTCTGCGAGCATAAAAGCAGTAAAGCAGAAAAAAGCTAAAGGCGAGTAAAGTGCATGTGTGCTGAGAGAGAGAGAGAGAGAGAGAGAGAGAGAGAGAGAGAGAGAGAGAGAGAGAAAGAGATGAAAGATACCCGGAAGAAGTGACGGAAGGTCAGATGAAAACAATCTTTTTTCTACTTTTTTTTCTCAACTCCTTCTCATTATTGCACGATAATAAATACTCTCCCACATACACGCACGCGCTCTCAACATATTATTATAATTAAATAATTATTATTCGATTTTTTTTTTTATTTTCCTTGTGATTTTTCTTTCCGTTTCCTTATACTCTACAAGATGAATCGTCTATTTTAATTATTAATATTTTACCTATAAAAATGTTTTCTTTCTTTCTCTCATTGCTTGCTTTTTCGTCGTAAAGAATTTCTTCTGAATCTTCATTTCTCTTTTCACGATTTAAATTATTCATCTATTTAGGAATCTCTCTACTTATAGATCGATATTTTTTTTTTGTTCTTTTTTGTGTACGAGATTATATCGTACGTACGATCAGCGGTATTTATCATTTAAGATATTTCTGCATTTTTTTCCCCACAGAGAAAGAATATGAAATTATTCAATAAAAATATATTTTGTCCCTTTCCGTTTTTTTCTATGTTCGATAGATAGAAAGTTAGTAAAAAGCTCGGTAAGCCTATTTTCAAATAAACTATATATGGATTTAAATTTTATTCGATGAAATCCAGAACAAAAAATAGACAGATAGATAGATTAAATAGATAGATGAACAAACGGACGGACAAACAAATATAGATAAATAGATAGTTTAGAATTTTCGCAAAAGTTAATCAATCGTTTGCCGAATCATCGAGAAAAGAAAAATGCGAAAGATTTGTCGAGATATAAATGTAAGAAATGTTTAAAAATATATGAAAAAAAGAGAAAAAAATACATTTCTACGAGATAGAAAGTTCATTATCACGGCACTTCATATCCACGACGACAAAAGGTTCGAGATTTAGTTGTAATCGAAAGTTTAAACAAAACACAAAACGTATATTACGGAGGGCTTCGTCGTCCGAACGAGAACGCGACCAAAAGATCGTACGTCGACAATCAATAAGAAAAGATCATTCGAAAAAAAAAACTCTAATTACAATATTATATCCATATATTTTTAATATAATTATATGGACAACAAATATGAGAAGACGAAGAGATAAAAAGGAGAACGGAAAATGAATATATATATATATATTAATATATATTCGTGTGTGTATGTGTGTACGTATAGAGAGAAAGAGAAATACAGAAAGAAAAAGATAGAAAAAGTTGAGAAAATTAAGAGAAAGATGGGATTGTAAAACGACACGAGATAGAAAGATATCTATTCAAATAATTGGACGCGTTATTATTATGAATTTAATTCGCGGAAATTCCTTTTTTTTTTCTTTTTTTTGAAAAAAGTCAAACTTCGTGAAAAAAGATTATGAACGGCCCGAAAGAGAAAGAGAGAAAAAAGTCATTGCAATATTTCTCATGAAGATAGACGAATAGATAAAAAGATAGAAAGATAGATAGATAGATGGAAGAAAGAAAAAGTGAGACAGAGATATAGATAGAAAGAGAGAGAGAGAGAGAGAACGTTCGAAAATAAAAAGCGAGATAAGGAAATTAATCAGAGGGGGTGGACTGTTTATGGCAAAGTTTGTTTGTTTT